GTTCCCCGAGGCACAGCGAGGCCCTCAGCTGACCTGACTTCATGAATTTTTAAGGTTGACTCATACGTGTTAGTCTGGTAGGCAGGTAGAAGAACACGGCAGGCAGACACACTCACAAACAATTATTTCCCCCATCCCCACCTGACTCTTGTGATTCTACTTGGATTAGATGACTGGTGTTTGCTACTGTTTACCATGTAAGACAGTATGGAGTGGGATGATTTTAATACAAATAGATCTATCTATCTATACCTAGGTATTACTTTGAGGACCAAGGTGCGCCTGACCCAAGTCACTGTCTTTTTAATGGCTTCTTATGCATGTGAAAGTTGGATGTTGGATAAGGGAGCCTGAAGAAGAAGAGATGCGTTTGAATTGGGGTGCTGGTGAAGAATATTCGAAGTACTGTGGACTGCCAAATGAACAAACAAATCCGTCTTGGAAGAAGTACAGCCAGAATGCTCTGTAGAGGCGAGGATGGGGAGACTCTGTCTCACGTGCTTTGTCTTTTTGTCATGAGAGACCAGTCCCCGAAAAAGGGCAGGAGGCTTGGTAAAGTAGAGAGGCAGCAAAGAAGACACACACACACACACACACACACAAGAGGAGGGCTTTTGACCCGATGGGCTGTCACCATGGCTGCAACCATGAGCTCAGACATAACACTGTGAGGATGGCGCAGGACCAAGTGGCGACTCGCTCTATTCTTCCTAGAGGGTCGGAAGTGACAGGCACCTAACCACAAGATCGATCTCTCTAGCTCTATATTTAGAAATAAATCTATCTCAGGAGGCTTCCAAAAGTTCATGGAAAACATAATAAAAAAAGAATTTTCGGAGGTCCCCTTATATACATCAAGCTAGGACCCACATACAAACCGTGGACTTGCCCTGCCCCGCTGGAAGGTAAAACCAATCCTGTGTCCTCTACTCTGTGCCGAAGAAAACTTTGCAACTCGTTTAGCACCAAACCCTGTGTCATCACTCCTGTCTACCGCCAGCTTCTGTACCCCACCCCTATCTTTATCTATTGAAAAAAGTATACCTGAACCGAAATGCTGCTGAATGCCTCAGTGCACATTATGTTCCATTGTATTTTGTACAAAAGAGAACACCCCCCCTGGAATTCCAGACATTTCAAAATATTGAGTCAAAACTAAAAACCTAACCCCCTGCCATCCAGTTGATGCCGACTCAGAGCGACCCTGTCGGATGGAGAGGAACAGCAAATCTTTATGGGAGCAGACAGCCTCATCTTTCTCCTACAGAACAACTGGTAGGTTTGAACCACTGACCTTGAGGTGAACAGTCCAATGCATAACCCACTGCACCACCAGGACACTTAAAAAAACACCACCCCCTGAATAGGGGAAATGAGAATAATTTTCCCACTAAAGCTAGAATGACCAGCTGTGCTCATTACTATGTAAATTTTTTTAATAGGAAAGGTTTGTTTTCCAAATGTTTGGATGTCTTTCTCTGGGAGCCCTTTCCTCCTTTCAGAGGCAGACAAAGCCAGCAGTGTCCAGTCTCTGTGAACCTGGACACTGTGAGAAAGAAGCATGCCCGTATGCCCTGTAACATGATTTATCCACAAGTTCTGGGAACTAAACACAGTTTTAAAATGCATTTTTCTAGCTAACATCAATATTCTTGGAGTCCCCGGGGGCACAAAGAATTGACACTCTCAGCTGCTAAATAAAAGGTGGTGGCTTACATTTCCCCTGGGCACTAAGAAGAAAGGCCTGGTGATCCACTTCAGAAGAACCAGCCACTGAAAACCGTACGGAGCTCAGTGCTTACTCTGCCAAACGGGGTTACCAGGAATCGGAGGGTGCTCTGTGGCAGTTCGCTATCCACTCTGTTTTATTTGAATGCCCAGCCCACCTTAAATCTAAGCACTCTTCTTCCAAACCAGGGGAAGCATTTCTGGCCACGCTGAGTGATAGACAACCAGGCTGTGACCCGGTACCACTTCTGGCCTGCGACCTTTGTCTGTAGTTTCCTCTACAGTGATCGGGCTCCCATAGGGCGGAGCCCCAGCTCTCTGAGTCTGTTGGGGAATTTCATTTACTGCTCGCTTCAACCCGGTATGGGTATGAGACCCCAACCAGGGCAGAGCCCAGCCTACAGCCAGGACTGGAGGATGGTCACATCCCATCCCAGGGATACCCCCTCCCTGCCTGGCTCAAGTCAATCTAACCTTTCAGTGCCTTAATGTAACATGTTTTGTTTTGGTTTTTTTAAAATCATTTTTGGGGGGCTCGTACAATTCTTATCACAATCCATACATACATCCATGTGTCAAGCACATTTGTACATTTGTTGCTAAAGTAACGTGTTTAATGAAATAGTTTTACATTTCAACTTGCAGTTCTCAAAAACTGCTATAATCAGAAAGTCATTTGTATTTCCAAAAAATCTAATTATTTAATTCAGGCTAGATTAAAAAAAAAGTTAATACTCTTGCACTTTGAAGAGCCAGCCACCCTCTGACTACGTGATGGCTGGGAATATTAGAGGATAAAGCACCCCCAGAAAATGACTATAGTTTGATACCCAGAAAGTTGATTTCAGACAAAGGAATCGTCCATGTGGCTGTATCTTTAAATCTGCAGGGCTAATATGAGGTACAAATCCCTTACACCAATTATCTTGCTGTACTATCCTGGCTCATGGAGTCCCTGGGCAGTGCAAATGGTTAACATGCTCGGCTACTAGCAGAAAAGGTATGAATCCACCCCAGGTGTCTCGGAAGAAAGACCTGGTGATCTACTCCTGTAAAACAGCCCAGAAAACCCTGGAAAGCACAGTTCAATTCTGACACAGGTGGAGGCACCATGTCACCACGTTGTGGTGGAAGCAACAGACTCAAACCAAACTCACTGCCATCGAGCTCATCCCGACTCCTAGCGAGCCTATA